GAAACAGTGGCCTTGTTGATCTCAGAGAGTCCCAGATTAAGCAGATTTCACTATTTTTAATCTCTCCAGAAATAAGCAAAGAAGAGAGGCCTCATTGCAAACAGACTGAACTTTACATAGGAAATACGTAGGTCCCCCGAGGCACCTAGAAAGTGTCTGAAACCCTGACGGCCTCCTCTCCTCCCCCACTCCATGACTCCCCTCTCCAGAGCCTGTAGGCCCTGCACCCAGGGAGGCCTGGGAGAGGCAGGAGGGCTTGGAATCAGGAGTTCAGCTCTGGCCTTGGACTGCCCAAACCAGCCCAGCCAGCCCTTTGGGGGGGGTGGCGGGGTGGGCGTGGTTTGCATGAGAAACAGGGAGATATTTTGCCCACAACTTGAACCGTGGCCTGGGAAGGCTCTTTGTTCTCTCATCCCCATTACTTCGGGTTTTCTGGTCCTTCTCTACTCTGCACTTGTCAAACTCCAGGCATGGGGAGGATTTCAAATAGCACCATCAAGCCTCACACACACACACACACACACACACACACACACACACACACGCGCGCGCACTGCAATCCCATTTGCCACACAGCCCTGGGATTTGTGGCCAAGTGTGGCCCAGTAAGAGCATCTAACAGGTCACATGGCCCCCAGCCTTCCCCACAAACTCCAGTGTTAAAGCCCCAGCCAGAACCCTGGGCCTTGCTGGCAGCTGTGCCGCTGCGTCACTGTGGGAGGCAGGATGAAGCCCTGTAGCCTGCTGTGCCTCAGTTTCCCTGCCTGTCAGTTTGGACAACCATGACCACAGCTAATTCTGAATTGTCTGCCTGCTGGTGGGACCAAGCACTGGAGGGGGCTCAGATTTATGGCACGGAAGTCCCAGAATGAGTCAAAGAAGAGAGAGACCAAAATAGCTCGGGAGCCGAGGGCCCAGAAAGGCAGCCAGAGATTAGACACACTGCAGAGAGAACCATCCCTATGACTTTATTGAGGGCTCTTGCTCATAAACAGCCAGTGTGTTATTTTAACTTCCACAGACCAGGCCAATGCTTGCCCAGGAGGGGAAGTTTGGAATTGGAGCCATCCGTGGGCCCTGCTGCTGCTAAGGTCACCCCAGGAGCTGGGGCTCTTCCAAAGGAAATCAGCATGGGGCTCCAGGGCTTGGCAAAATGGCTGGACAGATGGACATGTCTGAGTGAGAAAGTCATGGTTCTGAGGCAGGGAGGAGTGGCAAGTGCCCCCCCCCGCCCCGCCCGCTGCACCTCTGCTGGTGGGAGCAAGTCTTTGTTTATGGGGAATTTCTGCTGAAAAGTCCTTCTCTTACTTTTGCTTCTTGATCTCACGAAACCATGTAGAGGGCAGTGGGCCAGGAGCACAGACATAGAAAAGGCCCGAGAACTGCTGCCGCAGTTCCCATCCTTGGGAGCCCCCAGTCCGCAGCCAGCCCCAGCCGTGCCTTTCCCTCTCACATCCTGGCCTCACATCCTCTGTCTCATCACAGCATCCACCTGGCCCTCCTGGCCATGTGCTCCTTTGCATCTCCCCTTTCACGCGGAGAGCAGCGCTGGCAGGTGCCTTCCACCCTCATCCTTCCCTGGAGCTTCAGGCAACAATGAAACTCGATTCAAGTTTGCCAGCGACGTTGTCCAAAGCCACTCTTGCCCTTTTGTAGATAGGGGCTCACACATATCTCATTTCAGCTCTGAAGACCCCTTTTTCCCCTCTCACTGTCTGCTCTCAACCAGCCATCCATTTCCCGCTCATCTCTGCTGAAATGCTCCCAGCCAAGTCGAGCCAAGCCAAGCAGCTGTCTGTGGGTTCACAGACCCTCCAAGGATGAGGGTCTCTTCTGTGGCTACCAGATTGTACCCTGATGCCAGCCAACTCCTGGCATCTGCCACTGGCCCTCCCAAGATGGTAGCCTGGGGAGACACAGCCCAAACCCTTGATCCAGTCTCTTCCCAGTCCAGCTCTGTTGGCAAAATGAAATTCCCTGATGAAGAAAAGTCAGCCTGGACTGCCCATGATGCACCGGTGCTAACTGGGCAAACCACGTGTCCTGGGCTGGTCAGTGATTGGGGGCTTACTAGTGGGCCAGTATAAGGAAGGAGGTAGGAGGAAGAAGTCCAGGGCAAGTGTCAGATCTGGGGACAAGCCATTCATTGCTGGCAACATGTCTCTATCTGGAAAACAGCACACAGGAACACAGTGAAAAAGCAGCTTTTAAAGGCCTCCGTGATGTAACCCCATCCCACCACAGCTCCAGTCTGCTCTGAAGGCCTTCCCCCACCTGAATTCCGCCTTGGCCAGACATACAAACCCACCCTACATCCTGCTCATTCCTGCTCTCTGTCCTTGCTCCTTCCATTCCCTTCGCTCACAATATCTATCTAGATTTTGCCCATCTTCTAAGGCCCTGTTCCAAGCCTGCCCTCGCCCCAAACCCCAACCCTTGGCCAAACCTCAGAGAAGCCTGGAGCCCACACCCATCTCCTTCTCCACTTGTGGCACTTTTTGTCCACTCTACACGGTTTACTTCTTCATGGATGACCATTTCATATGTTCTCTCTTTCAGATGTGTTGGCCTTTGTCTCCCTGTGTGTCCCCGATCTTGTCCCCAAATTCTTGCCCCAAGGACACCTCCCCAGTGCTCTGAACCCTGTTGGGCCTTAGACAATACTTATGGATTTGATTGGTTATCCAAAAAGGAATTTGAGTGATCAGAAAGATACATAAGCTGGAAGAATGATAGAATATTCGGTGAAACTGAGTGTGGGCCCAGGTGGTCCTGCTTAGGGGAAGTGGTATAATGGGTTTTCCTTTCTAGGCTGACCTCTGATAGTCCTAGGATCCCACAGAGGCCCATGGAAGGCGGTGGTTGGGTGAACAGTGTTCTGCAACCCAAGGGCACCATAAATGCAAAGGAGAGAGCTGAGCAATGTTAGCTTCACAACTCCGGGTGATGAGGACGGTATTTATAGACTCAGTGACATGTTTGAAGCAGTGAGTCCCAGAGGCTAATATTTTAAGCTGGACATCCTGAGACCCTGACGTTCTGTTTTTATTCTCCTCCCCATCCTTCCCTCCTGTAACCCCTGGAACTTTCCATGCAGTTTGAACAAGAGCATGAAACCTCTATTGTTTCTCAATCCTTACTAGTGCTAGGGAAGGATTGAAAAACTGCTTTGTGGAAGGATGACTGGTGATGAGTGGAAAACATTCTGAGGCCTCAAAATGACATTTGCCATTACACCGAAACTTCCAGCAGAGAATTTCAAAATTCTAGGCAGAGAGGAAGGCCTATCTGCCCTCGGAGGACTCCAAGGGCAATGGGGCTGGGAGTAGGGACAGTAAGTCCTTGTTTGCAGACGAACCCATCTGAGCCCAGAGGGTCCAGACTGTCTACAGCCACCTATTTAAGAATTTTCTTTCTCTCGAGACCATTTTTATATTGGATAAAATTTCCTGAGGAAAATCTATAAACAGAGGGTGGGAACCTAAAACTACTATTTATACGGCCCAGAATACAAATGGAGAAATCAGTGTTTTCCCTCAGAGCAATCTAGAAAGTACTAGCCAAAGAACAAATTACAAACAGCTACACAAGCATTAGGGAAGTCCCATAGATCATAGGGGATGGAAAATAACCATGAGATCATCATGCTGGTCTCCCCAGGGGCCAGGACAGCCAGGATGCAGCTTCACCATCCCCCTTCGGAGAGTTTCACCTTTCTCTTGCTTTGGACTGTGAAGAGAGTTCCGATTCATCATCCATACATTCTCCCACCCCCATCCCCAGACAGGCAGCACCTACAAAACAGAGCTCCTCATGCTTGGAAATTAAGTCCAGAACATTCTCGACTGTGTGGTTTTTTCGTTGTTTGTGAACAATGCTGGATGCTCACCCCCCATGTTGACCAGCACTATGGACCAGCCAGATCTGGCCAAATTGAAACATCAGATCCTGCTTAGACTTCAGAGTCTAAGCCCGACTTTTAGAAGTGAGCCAACAGGAAAAAAGTTGTACCTGTTTTCGTGCCAAGAAAAGCTGATACCTGGCAACGTGGTAAATATATAACCCTGTTGTATGTTATATATGAAAGTCATTAAGAGAGTAAATCCTAAGAGTTCTCAACACAAGGAAAACAATTTTTTTCTATTTCTTTTTTTCATATCTATGTGAGATGCTGGATGTCCTCTAAACTTACTGTGATAATCATTTCATTGTGTCTGTAAGTCAAGTCATTATGCTGCACACCTTAAACTTACACAGTGCTGTGTGTCAGTTATATCTCAATAAAACTGGAAGGAAAAAAATCTAGTTAATACTTATCCTCTAAATTTAGGTTAGTCAAAGTGTAAAAATGGATTTACTGGTGATGATGATGGAGAGATATGAAGCACACGAGTTCTTCTTTCTTCTCTTTTAAATGAAAAAAAAATGTACAATTGCCAAGAACAAACAAAAACTGCACAAAGAAACAAACAAAAAACATTATATAAGTGGAGGAAAAAAGAAAAAGAAAAGTAAATATCCTGTACCCGGAAAACAAACAAAACTAATGATCTAAAAATAACTTGAAAACTTTTGTTTTCACCAAAGCAAAACTCACATACACATACATGTGCACACACTTTTTTTCCCTCCTAATTACAAAAATAATAAATGCCCAATGCAGAAAACTTGGAAAATACAGAAAAAACACAACTGGGAAACTATTGATAGTATTTTGTTGTATTACTTTCCAATATTTCTTCATGAATAGTCACCTATATATGAATACTATAATATATACCAATGCATAGTATATAGTATATTGTACGTAATATATATTATATTATGCTATATTATATATTACATAATAGATAATTATATAAATGAAGAGGGATATAGAATCCTTTACATATAAAATATTCATTCATTCATATATATTCTTACATGTTTATATAAAATTTCACATAAAATGTTAAGAAATTCTCAATATTGTTGTTTTTTTTTTTTACTCTAAGGTAACACATGTTAATTATAGAAAATCGGAAACATGCTTGAGCCGAAAAAAGAGGTGCAAATTATGTCTATTCCTCTCATTCAAGAAAGACCACTTTCGTTTGCTGTGTGCCCTTCCCATTTGTTTTAAATACGTATTCATAAGTATGAAATGATATGCCAAATTATACGGAAGTAGCATCATGATACTTGTTTTATTTCGTAGGTATGCTAGGGCAATACCAATGAACATCTTAAACTGTTGTATTTTCCTTTCCCTGGGAGTCACCTTGTGCTATGGCTTCTTCTTGTGGAGGGGACACCGTCTGTGATGATGGGCCACTGCCCGGCCTCCAGGGTCCATGCTGACTCTTGAGGAATCCTAAATTTTAAAGTCTTCCTTTTCCATTACTAGAGCAGAGCCAGGAGGTCTGATAACGGAACTTACCGTAAGCTACAGTGCAGAAAAGATGGTAGGCAACCTGATGGAAGTTCCCGCAGGTGGGAGGGGACGGCAGAAAGCTCTTCCGGGTCAGGAGGAGCGGCAGAGGAGGGAGAGGAAGAGGGGCAGCAGTTAGACTAGCCAGGCCTTTCCTGACCCGCTTCCTTGACATCATATCTTGAGGATTGGGGTGTTTTCAACATCCAAAGGGAGTTTGGGGGGATCTAAAAACATCTAAGTCAGGCCTTGCTTTTCTGAGATATCGTTTGAGGAGATTTCAAGTCTCTTGGGTTCACCTGGCACCGATCCTGCACAGGGCCATAGGATGGGTAAGAAGTGACAGCAGGAAGTGGCGTAGGTCTTGGCACATTGGCATGAGTCTCACAGCTCGCTTGGGTGTCTCAGGGATTCCGGATTCCCTTGCAGGCCCAGCACAGTAGCAGAAGCACTAAGAAAAGGCCTGGGGTTGGGACCAAGAGACCCCAGTTATCTCAACCTTCCATCTTAAGTCAACGGAGGAGGCGTGTGGTGAATACACTAACTTTCAAATACAGTTCAATTTAAGGGCCATTTATTGAGTTCCTACCTTACACAAGAAAGGCAAGGATGAGACTTCCCCTCAACGAGCTCAGTATGCGGAGAGTTGAATTTTTCTATACCACTGTGGTACACATGTTACTAAAAGTCAGATTAAGGCAGGTGCTGGCGGAGCCTAGATATGGGACCCATTCCACAGATGCTCTGCTACTGCATTGGGCCATCAGCCTCCGAGAGGTTAGCCCAGGCATTGTCCCCTCATCCTGTTTCTATGACCTTTGTCTTCTCCCCTACCCTCCCTGAGCCCAGCCTCATCGCCTTCTCAGTCCTCCATCCCAACCTGTTTTAGGCAACTTCTCTTCCACCCCTGCTTCCATGAGTCTCAGGGTGTTCATGGCAGTAGCAACCCAGGGTAGATAGGGCCAGGCCCTGAGGCTATGGTGAGAAAGTCACGGAAATGGGACCAGAATAATAACTGGGGTAGAAAATGGATAATAATAATTATTATTATGATTCATCACTTATAATTAGTCTTCCTACGTGCAAGGCACTGGTTGGAGCGCTTTTCATATAAATTTTGAATTCATACATTTGTGTTAACTCGTACATTAACTCATAAGTGAGTTACCATCTAAGTGACATACCATCTATGTGAAAACCTATAAGGGAAGTGTGACTGTGAGTCCTCCTCTTAGGGATAAGAAAACATAGGCACAGACAGGTTAAAGTGACTTACCCAGGGTCACAGAGCTAGTAAGTGAAAGGCAGCACCCATCCTGGCAGGCCGGCTCTAGATCCTCACAGCAGATGACAGTGGGGGACACCGAAGTCTCTGAGCTATAACAAGGGACATGGCTGCATGTAGTTTGGGAAGGCAGGCCGTCACAAAGAGGTCCCCCCAAATCTAAAACTATCCTTGAGCTTCTGGGAGATCTCCCAGCAAGAAGGGGGTTTAGGGTGCCTGTGGTTCCTCTTTGGCAGCTCTGGAGACTGAGAACCGGGGAGGTTAGGGCTGCATGGCCCACAGTTGCAGAGGCAGCTGCAAGAGAGTGGAGTGTGCACCTGCGATGCACACTATTGGGGTAGAGCCAGCCTCCAGGGAGGCATACGTGTCCACACCTGCACAGGCACTTCTGGGGCAAGGCAGGAGTGGTGAGCCCCCTACTGAGGAATGAAGCCAGGGAAGGCGCCCTTTGTCTCGCTCCAGAGTGCTTTGTGGGTGTTCTCCCATGTATCCTGGCACCTGAGCTGCACTGATTGGCTGACTAGCCTCTCTGCCCAGCATCCAGGGACTGTGTCTCCACTTGCCGGCAGGCCAGCGAGAGGTCAGCAACCACCAGAGGAGCCCGGTTCTTCTTGCAGAGGCACATCAGCCCAGCTGGCTCACTGCAGTGAGTGGTCCCCCGAGCGCCCGGAGCCAGAGGCCCCAGGGGTTCATAACAGATGGGCCTGTGGGACCAGCCACGTCCTTTCAATGCTTTATCTCATTCAGCTTTGGCAGTGAGCCAGTGGAGGGGCCAGGCATGCTCCTCCCAGTGTCACTGATGAGGAAACTGAGGCTCAAGGTCAAAGCTAGAAAATGACGTTTCGGGAAGCTCAAATGAAATCTCCTGGCCCCTGTAACAAACCATCTTCATATATATCTTCACATATACCATACTGTCCTGAGCACCCACAGCGTTTAAAACACCAAGCAGAACAGGGATCTTTGGGCCTAAATCGGCATGGTGCTGGGACCCAGTTCGGGGGGCAGACTTAGGCCTCCTAAGTGGCAGATCCTTTACACTTATTATCTTATTTAAACCAGCCCTTGCTGCAAACTTGTGAACTAGGCATTATCATCCCCGTTTGGTAAGTTAAAAACAAACAACAAGACTTCAAAAGGTAAAGTAACTTTACCAAAGTTGCCTAAACGATAAGGCTGGGTTTTTAACCCAAGTATGTCTGACCCCAAAGTCTGTGCTATTTCTCTTTCTCCATCAAGTATCGATACAAGCTTAGCCATTTATGTAGAAAGAGAAACCTTGGGCCAATAGCTTAACTACCCGTAGCCTCGGCTTCCCATCTGTAAAATGGGTATGATGCTGATAGCTCACTTACCTATCTACCTCACAGTTCTGTTCCAGTGGTCACATGAGCCCATTAATAGGAAAGACCTTTAGGACTTTAAGGCACTGTGAATAAATGGTATTAATCCTCACCTTGAACTTAGAAGTTATTATGGCTTTCTACTATCTAACCTTGCTGGTATCCAGTGGTACGCTTCGATTTAGCCTATCTAGTTTATTTTCCACATTCCTGTTCTGATGGGCTAGCCTCTGCTGCTGGCTCTAAATTGTATCATCAGTGTTGTTCTCTACCCAGCAGTTAGTATCACCTCTTCCACACTGTCCCTCAGACATGCCCCTTACTACTGAGTTGTAGGTGTTCTACAATGATCTTCCTTCTGGGACCCCAAGGGAGCGATCCAGATGCACTCTTTTCTAGTAGTGTGATGGTCAACATTTACCAACTGGCTTCCCACGTGTAGAACTGACATGAATGTTGGTTGATAATTGCATTTACAATCATAAGTAAGTCAAAAGTGAAACAACAAAGATGGATTCCAGAACTTCGCTCATTTGCCAGCGTCAGGAGCGACTTCTTTGCTGATTTTGAGTACTGGAAGAATATGACCTTGATTTGTTCTGTCATTCATAAAGTCATTGCTACAGATGCAGCACACTTTTATGTTTAATCTGCCTTATTAACATTTTCTCTATCACTTTCTTAAGTCTAGACAATCATCGAAAAAATAAATCAAGCCCCAGTTTGTAGAGTGTGCCAGTTTCTGTGGTGCAAACAGTCTCACCATGGCTAATTCCCAACTGCCCAATGTGATGTTACGGAATGTGAAATTGGGAAGAGGAGCACAGGGACATAGCACTATGTAGTATTCCCACTATATTGATGTAATAGCAAATAACTCAAGAGCGTAGGTAATAGCAAAGGGTAGCGAAATAATTAGGATGTAATCTGTTTGTTACTATTGATTACCTTTGTTTTTAATATCATTTACTTAATTATAAGTTTATATAATTTAACTTGCCGTAAAGGCTGTGTTGAACAATCAGCTTGCAAAATTCCTGAAAATTTAACAATCAGCTAATGCAAGCCAGCTCCAGCACACCACTGTCCCTTCCCTCCCTCTTATTAGTTTCTATGGGCCTCATACCATCTGATGGCCACACCCTTCATTAAAAAGCTCCAGCTAGACCAGGTCCACAGGAATCAAGAGAAAATTATCCAATGCTCAGCTTCCCCAAATAAGCAATGTCAACGGCTTCAGTCCAGTGGAGTGACTTAATGATCTGTTTCCTTCAATAAACTGTGATTTCTGAACTTACTTCAGATACCTGAGCATCCCAGTAAGCTGAGAATGAGGCCTGAAGGCTTTCATGATGTAATATACTAGGTTTAAACTTGGCAAGCAGATGACATTGTGAGAAATGGATCTTCTTAGGCCGATTTTAGGAGTCTGGGGTGTTTTTTTAAGAGTTAAGCCAAGGCAAAAAATAACCCTTGCAACACATCACTTCACAGCTGGTCGGCCTGGGAGGAGCTATTCTGGGATATCCAAGCTAAGGTGCCTCTTTAAACTCCAGGCCAACTGGAATCAGGATGTGGGGTTTCTATTCTTGTCTGTGTCAAGGACTTGCTGTGAAATCCCTGTCCAGTTAGTGCCCTGGCTGGTGCCTCAGTTTACCCTCTGGCGAAATCAGGTCAACTGCCTTAGCTGAGTTCATCAGACTTGAGCTCTGGGGAGTGAAAAACATCATTGCTAGGGTTGCCAGAGGGTTTGGAGCATCCACTCAAGTCTTTCTTAATCAGTGGAGACTCTAGGAGGAGCTAAGTTTTTGATGAAATCTTCTAAGAGACGACAAATGAGCAGGGTCTAACAGAGAGGAATAGGAAAAGCAGTAGAAGGTAAAGGAGGAGGTGGGCCTCCAAATGACATCCAGGGAAAATGGTGGGCCAGGAGCTAGAGGAACATGGGCCCCATGTTCACTTCTCTAGGACAGAGTGCATGCAAAGTGTGAGTTAGTTACAGAAGAAAAAGCAGGCGAGATGGGTTTAGTGGTACCTTTTGTTTGGGTTTGATGAGATAGCTTCCTGGGTAGAAAAGGAATGTGATCAAAGTTATGATTCTGAGACCTGCGTGGAAGACGACCAGGGAGCAGGTAGACTTGAAGGCAATACCATCCTGGAAAACACCTCTGGGACTGCGTCCTGGGCTGCTGTGTAAATAACCTCTCTCCTGTTCATCACCTGGCATCGTAGTTCTCAGAGAACAGGGCTGTCTCCTCTGTTGAGAGCTTGAGCCGGCCCTTTGGATGAGGAAGCATTATGAGCGATCGCTGTGTACTTCTGTCCAGTTCTCGCCATGCCTTGGACTTCTACCATCTCACTCTTCTTGCCAGCAACCTAGAGGAGAAGGGACACTATCCTAACTTTAACATCTGAGCAACTGAGACTTACACTGAGTGATTTACCCCAGAACACACTGAGGCTCAACCCATCACTCAGTGGCCGCACATCTTGCAACTCATTCACACCAAGCCGTCTCTACCAAACCTAACTAGCTGGTCAGCTTTTCCCATCCACAGGCCAGACACATTTTGAAATAAAAAGCCGACTGATCTCTAGAAAAACTGAAAGGCCAGTTCCAGTTGTCAAACACTACAAGCTAGAGAGTTTCTTCCAAAAGTTCTATGGGAAACCTGAGGATTCTGAATTCCAAAGCCATCCAAATGTGGATTTCCTCTATAAAGAGATCGTCCCTCCCCGTGAAGAACCCTTCTCCGTGAAGCTAGTTCCATGTTTCCTAATAACTTTTGCTTACGCCACAAAATTGTCATAGATTATGGAAACACAAAGGCCTTGGAAAAAAAAAATGTCCCGAGGCCCCTGGAAGTCATTATTTTTTCCTTTAGCAATTGCTGAGTTAAGCAGTAAAAATATGGTTTCCATCTTGCACCCTTCCCACTCCCCCCCCCACACTCACACAGATGATGTGCTGGACATATGTTCAGAAGAAAGCAGGGACATGGGGGTGGGAGCAGATTCACATGCCGTGAGTCAAGAGCCTGAACATTTGAAAAGAAGAAGCGGGAGAGGGCGGGGAGTTTGCAGCCCTGGAAATGGACTATCGAAAGGATTTATTGCTTTTGAGTATCTCACAAGGCATTTTTTTTTATAAAAATCTGTAACTTATGGTTTTGTTTTTTTTTTTTTTTTGTATAGGGCAGTAAACAAGAGCTCTGAAAGGGGAAGGAAGCCAGGAGAAAGCCAGCTCCATTAGTCACGCAGCTGCATATCCTGTCACAAAGAACCCCAGTTGAGTAATCGCCCAAAATATGCCTGTTATTTTTTTTCTGTCAGAAAAAAATGGGGCCTGCCAAAATGTACTGTAAAAAAAAAAGGAAAAAAAATCTGGTCTCTCAGCCCCAGAGGGGGAAAGGAAAAGAAAGAAGAAACAGGCGTAACTTCTCAGCACTCTTCTAACCCCCTTTCCAACTTATCTTTAAAAGAAAAAGCCTTCAGACTCTTCACAGCGATAGAGCCAGCTTGAAAAAAGCTGGCTCTGTGAGATGTTCCAGGTCTCAGACTCCATGCAGTTACATGGTGCTGAGAGCTCAGTAAGAAGAGGGAAGGTAAGAGAGAGGAAGAGGACAGGCCCAGGGGGAGAGGAGAAACGAACAGGCAAAGGACAGGGAGATTGAACCAGGCCTTTGATAGACTAAGTGGGTGAGCTAAGTGTCCCACAGGGAACCTGTGGCAGCCCATACCAGTTTCGTGAGCATGGCATGGGCCCAGCCAGTGGCCAAGCATGCTTCATAAGCTTTTCTGATGGCCTCAGCGAAACCACCATTGTCTCCGGCCTCCACCATGCCCTAGGCTGTTTGGGCCACAGAATGAACAATAAGAATTTGTGTAGCAGGACATCTGACTCTGGGGAAGTCTGAAGAACAGAAGCTGGGGAAGGACCAGAACTGCCTACAATCTCAGGAATTTTCCCGGATTGGCTTTTCAAAACACCTGGATGCAAGGCTCCTGGTGGGGAAATGGAAGCACAGCAAACCAAGGTGTTCTAAAGCCTGGTTGGGTTGCTGCCTCTGTGCCACGCTCCTGGTCCCCTGGTTCTCAGGACCGGGACACGAAGGATGGTCAGTCCAGGCACAGAGTACTCTTGGAAAGACACAATTTCCCTCCTGCTCACATTCTGATCCATCAAAGTTGTCCATGGGGAATGGGCTTTCTTAACCCAGTTGACAAAAAAAAAAAAAAAAAAAGCAGGACGCCTTCTCCTTAAGAAAAAGAACAGAGGCCTACAGGGGAGGAACAGACAGATGTACTGCTTTTGCTCTGGGCTCTCTGGAGCCTGTCCCAGAGGAGAGAGCCCAGCCCTGCTTCAGCTCCACAGAGCCAGGCTAGGGGAAGATCCTTTCCAGGAGCACCTCTAGCCACCTGGGTCCTAATTTGGCTGCTTGGCAATTTGGGGCCAAGGGAACTCCAGCCCCAGGTACCGAGTCAATCCCCGTGCCTGATTGCTTCTCCAGCAACTGACTGCAGGAAGGCCCTGATTTTACCAAAATCAGCCCTTCCGGGCCTTTGAGCCCTGCCCATCCTGTCTGAGGCGCAGTCTCAAAGCCAGTCTTGAACTTCACTACCCAGCCCTGGCCGCTGCTTCCCCTGGGAGAGCTAATTAACACCTAAAGCCATCCAAAGGGTGCTGGCAGCTTCCTGCAGAGAACTGGCCTGTGAGGTAGAAGAGCAGATTCTCCTCCCCGGCTTCACTGCTGATTTGCTATGGAATTTCAGGCCTCTCAAGTGAATGCTCTATGACTATTTTTTCCTCCCTTAGAGATTTATCAACTATTAGTCAGAGCCTCTATATGCCTGCAATGTGCAAAGTACTGGGAATTCAATGGTGGAGAACACAGATCTGGTCCCTTTCTTCATGTGAGACCTGGGCAGCCTTTTCCGTACCTGCTGCAGCATGTAGGCTGCCCAGGTTTCACACGAAGAAAGGGACCGGAAAGGCTCATGATTTCTTGAGTTTCCTGAAACTAGCTCCTTGGGTGGCTGAGTCTGGGGGTTGAGGGTTGGGATAGGAGCAAATACAACAAAAAATAAATGCACTGCAATTTTTAGAAAAACAAAACGCAAATACTAATACTAGCATTTCCAAAATGCTTCTAAGGCAGAAGACTGCCCCAAAGCCACCTGATCATAATGAAAATTCTAGCAGGGCATTTGGAATTCCCTCTGTTAGACATTCCAGCTCGCTGGGACATGGAAAGGACCAAGACTGCTTAATGATGCACAAACTATGTTGGTGTTGATGCCCATCATCTAGCTCACATCAAAGCCCAGTTGCTGGACTGACCCGTGGGGACTCCTTCCTCGTCTCAGCTTTAGTTGCAGGAATTACTCGAGGGCTGTTGTCTCCCTCAAGGCTCAGCCCTTCTTGAGCCCAGGTCCTTCATATAAACCAAGACTTCAAATCAGAAATGTCAACACAAGCCCGTTGGCTAATGCTCCAGGGCTGACGGGCCTGGCACACGAGCATGGGGGAAGGTCCTCATCCCCTGAGTAGCAGGTGAATGAGGTCTCTGGAGGTGCCCACCCCCATGTGGATTTCCCTCTGTGGTGACAGTGACATCTGAGTCACTGAGCCTGAGGCTGCCATGTAGCTTCACGCCCTCCCCTCTGTGCCCCGGAAGGGGACTGGGGGCAGGTCCTCACAGCAGAGAAGCCTCCACTTCCTCCCAGCAACACTTCTCAGCCTCCTCAGGCCTTGCAAGCCTGCGGTTGATGGGCACCCAGGTGATGAAGTCTTTCTCAGCCCGTTCTTCTCTCATTAACCCTTTGATGTTTCTAAGCCGACAACTCAGCATCTTCCAGGCTGTGGGGAACGTGCTCGCCAGGTGCACCTTCCAAGCCGCTGATTAAGATGCCAGGCGGTCTCTGGTCGGAGGAAAGTCCAAGGGGGCTGCTGAAATGACTCACTAACTGAGCCCCTGTCCTTTGGAGAGCTCTATCCTGTCAGCGAAAGGCCTTCAACAGAGGATGCAGATGGAGAGCCAAAAGGGAAAAGCTCTAAGTGCCAAAAAAACCCAAAAACACAAAAACTCCACACATCCCAAGTGGGGTGAGAGAAGGGGGTGGGGGGAACTCTTTCACCTGCCAGGGCTTAGGGGTCCTGTGCTCCAGACTCTGCTTAGGAATCAAGCCCAGCAATGTTGGTACATCGTGCTGGTGACAAGAGAGCATGATGGTCAGACTCACAAGGCCCTCAAAGTCCACTCGCCAGACTATTCCTTGGTGCCCTCACCCCTGATGCTGGGGGATAATGTAACAAGAGCCTTCACGTATATGAAGAGTCAGTGCCTGACAAAGCACTTACTGACCAAGGAAAAATTAACTTCAGGTGCAGCAGGAAAGGTCTGGTACCAAGAATGTCTGGGGTTTTGAGACACTGGAAAAGATTGCTTAATACTGTAATTGGGCTCCCTTCCCTGGAAATATCTGAAAATAGGATAAGTACTCCCCAGTCTTGGATGGGTCAGCTTTGCCTTGAGGTGAGGGGATGGTTACATCGACCCATGGAGAGAGCTTGCCAGGAACTTTGAGTCTGAAATGGTATATTTTCATATGAAAAAAAAATTTTTATTGTGGCAACATATACATAACATTAAATTTACCATTTTAACCATTTTTAAGTTTACAGTTCAGTGACATTGAGTACGTTTACATTGTTGTGCAACCATCACCACCATCCACCTACAGAAATCTTTCATCTTCCCAAACCGAACCTCTGTACCCACTGAACACTGACTCCCCGTCCCTCTCTCCCCAGCCCCATTCTGCTTTCTGTCACTATGAATTTGACTATTCTAGGTACCTCATATTAGTGGAACCAGACAATATTTGTCATTTTTTATATGACTGCCTTATGTCACTTGGCATAATATCTTGAAGGCTGATCCATGTTGTAGCATGTGTCAGAATTACATTCCTTTTTAAGAATGAATACTATTCCATTGTATGCATATGTCACTTTTTTTTTTTTTTTTTTTTTTTTTTGCGGTACGCGGGCCTCTCACTGTTGTGGCCTCTCCCGTTGCGGAGCACAGGCTCCGGACGCGCAGGCTCAGAGGCCATGGCTCACGGGCCCAGCCGCTCCACAGCATGTGGGATCTTCCTGGACCGGGGCACGAACCCGTGTCCCCTGCATCGGCAGGCGGACTCTCAACCACTGCGCCACCAGGGAAGCCCCATATGTCACATTTTATCTATTCACCTGTGATGGGTGTCTGGGTTGTTTTCACATTTTGTCTATTGTGAATAATGTTACTATGAACATGGGGTGTACAAATATCTGTTCAATTCCCTGGCTTTCAGTTCTTTTGGTTATATACCCAGAAGTAGAATTGCATGAAGAAAAACTTCAAAAAGCATTGTGGCCTGGGAGAAAAGATGTCAGTAGGCTCATATCACAATCCTGTATGGAGAATAGACACTTTAAAAAA